ACATTTAGAGGATGTTTGGCTCAACCTGCTGCTGTGAAGCAGGATTCTCCACCATGAACAGAATCAGGTATAGAGCATCAAATTAGCCTTTCTGTGCTTAAAGCTTCAATATATCAGTTATTTTCTATTATTTAATGAAAAAAAGTCGATTTTGCTTTTCCTCAGTTATGATGTAGAAGCTGTACTTCCTGCCTCTGAGGAGTTGATCGGTTCTTTCTGCCGTCTTTCTGTAGAATGTGGGAACTTTGGACACGTCTGGTAAAAAGACGGATCCTGAAGCCGGACTGGAGGTTTGGGAACGTCTTCAAACTCACCTGCGTGAAAGAAGGAAGCGTGTGACGGAGGTCCGCTGCTCCTGGTCACTTTCAGCCGTTTCTCTCAATCTAAATCATCAAGTTTCTTTAATTAAATACCTTTTTAATAAAGTAAAGCAAAAGTATTTACACATTTTCAATTAAACTGTAATCAATGGGTGCACCTTCTGAGGAGAGAAACTATAAATACAGGAGAAGTGAGGCTCCATCTGCTATTTACACGACTCTCCCTTAGATCCACTGAAGGATCTGCAGCTAAACTTGGTTTTAAAATACATGTTTCTTTTTAAAACCAACGCTGAAGGTTTACAGTCCACTTTGCTTCAGGGCGACGCGGCGGCGGCGGCGTCATCCTTCAGAGGCCAAAGGTCACAGCCGTGTCTGAAACGGAAAAACGCCCTCGGTGTTCCTCTTTGTAGTTTTATTATTTTCTTATAAAAGTTTTTCCAGTCAGAAACTCAGCTGCTCCTCTTTTAAAGAAGCTCATCATGCAGCTCAGCCATCATTAAAAATAGACGTGGCAGCGCTGGATGGCGCCTTTAGTGTCGCTGCGCTGAGCAAACGCAAACAAACTTCGCAGCAGCAGCATCTCCATCTTAGCTTCTCTAATCCTGTAGTTCTCATCAGACATTCTGCTGCCAAGGGTGAAAACTAGAAACCACAAAAAAACAAAAGGAACCAAGAAAACATCTGAAAGTTTGAATCCAAAATACAATCTGTCCCATTTGAAGGAGCTTCCAGGTTCAGGCTCTCCTTCCCAGCCTCCACGCCAGGCTTCAGGTTCCTCCAGGTTCTCCTAGCTGTTGTCGGATTCCTCCTCTGCTTCGCGGAGCCACGTGAAGAAAGCAGTGACGGACTTGAGGGCCACGCCCTTTCCCTGCTGCTCGGCGGGGTCTTTGCTGGACTCCCACTTGTAGAAGGCCTCCTCTTTGATCACGTCCTCGTCATAAAGCGTGTCGAAGAACATCCGCAGCAGATCTGATGGACGACAGAGGCAAACGTTCAGAGCGAGGCTAAGCTGAGTCAACCAGTAAACCACCAAGCTTCTGTTTGCAGAAGGAAAAACTGTCATGGCTTGATCTGAAAGGTGTGGTGTGTTCCTGTCCTCAGCCCTTTCCCTCTGATAGCTGAGGGTCAGCTCAGGGTCATGGCTAGCTGCGGGTCAGCTCAGGGTCATGGCTAGCTGAGGGTCAGCTAAGGGTCATGGCTAGCTGAGGGTCAGCTAAGGGTCATGGCTAGCTGAGGGTCAGCTAAGGGTCATGGCTAGCTGAGGGTCAGCTAAGGGTCAGGAGGGGA